GTCATTATTTTTCTTACATAAAACCACCGGGCTAGCATAACTACTTGAGATGGGCGTTATGATCTTTTTACGTAGCATATCGGTAATATGCCATTCTATAATTTTTTTCCTTATTCTTATCATACCGGTATGGCTTTGTGGCGAACTGGCATTGAATCTCCGGTGTCAATACTATGGTTAGTAACCTGAGTAAATCCTGGAATATCACTAAATAACGAAGCAAATTCACTTACCACTTGTCGGATTCTTCGTTGCTCTTCATTAGGCAGGTGGTCAAGGATTTAACATTGGCGGTTCCACCTTTTCTTCACGAACTGGTTTCATTGTCAGCTTAAGGGACGCTTCATTAAAATCCAGCGTTGCTTGTGCCTCTGAAAGAAAATCTATTCCTAAGATAATATGTGCTTGCAGATTCTTTACTATAAAAAACATAACCTTTACTTGTTCGTCCTTGATACGGACATACAGCGGTAACTTTACCTATGCACTTACATTTTCTCCTTGCGCCGCTAACACTGTCGTATTATCCGAATTATATATGCGGTATTTACGAAAATACTTCCTAAAAAAATCTTCTGCCACACAGGAACACTGCGCGCCTGTATCCAGGAGTGCGGTGGCTGGGATATTATTCACCAACACTTCAATCTTCGGAAGAGTCAAATTTTTCACCATTACTGTATTTAACTTGAAGGAAGAGGGGTTTTCTTGGCCTTCGGATTTCCGCACCCTCCCGTCAGCAGAAATCCGTTTTAGTTTAAATTATTTTTTCCTTTCCGTGCTTTCCTTCTTTTTCCACTGGCCTTGAGACTTTTTTCCTGGATTGCTATTGAACTGTCGACGTTCGCCGGCTGTTTTTGAATGCTCGGGTTTCCTTGCCCACTGATTCGCTTTGCTTCCGTAGCCGTGTGCTTGAGTTTGCTGTAGTCTTGGCGCACCAAATTGGTTTCGCTGTTGATATTGGCGTCTTCTTTCAATGTCCGCCGTTCTTCTACTTTCAAACTGGATTGCTAGCTCAAATAACTTTTCCAGTGTAGTCGGATTTCTTAATTCAATAAAGTCTTGCACTTGGGGAAGTAACCTCGGCAAAATCACTTGAATTATCTCAGGATCCGGACGGTTTCCATACAAGAGTTTGAAGACGTGAATTTTTCTTAAAATAAAGCTTGAGAGATTTTCGATTCTTTGTTGATATATGCTGAAAAGTTCCGTTTCTAATTTCGCACGATCCCTTACGACAGGGAAGGCTTTTAGTAGGGCAGTCTTGAAATTTTCGTAAGTATAGGTGGGACTTCCTGCTTGACCCAAGAGACTTCTGCCTATACATTTGAACCAATTAAGCGCTTGGCCCCTCAAAGCGCTGGTAGCTAAGGTAACTTTTGAAACTCGTGCACGGGGATAGAGCATGAAGTGGTCATCCAATTTTTCCAAAAAACTGGTTACCGGTGAGTTTCCATTAAATGTTGCTTCTGGTTTCATCGAAGCGCGCATGGTCTGGACGATGTAACCAAATCCTTCCAGGGCGGCAGCTGGCATTTCTGGATTCTGAGCCGCTTCTGCAGGCAGCACAGGTTCTTCTTGAAACTCGGCCATGGTTATTCTTCTTCGTTGGGCGCCACTATCAGGTTCAATGTTCCGTCTTACCTTCTTCGGGAACATGCAAGGACCTGACTCGGAACAGAGAGCTTACTAAAGCTATGTTCAATAAACTGTGGGAAGTAGACAGGATACACAAGGAAGGGTATACAAAACCCTTTATTTTTTTCTCTATTTACAATAATTTCCGTACTTCGGAATACAAGAGACCCCTACTTGTGGTCTAACGTAAAAATATAAAAATAAAACTAAACTCTAACTTTAACTTTAAATAACAAACGTGGAAGATTGGCCTTATATTAACAGGAAGCCGTATGTAGTACAGAGAACTGTAACACTACAATACGTTTAAAATTATCAAGAGGATTAAAACCTCTGGCCTGGAAGGCAACCAGCAACTGAGTAAAACTTCTAAGGTAAGCGGCCTGCTTCGAACTCACTGCTTCCTCTCTCTCTCGCTTGGCAAAAAGCCACAACTTAAGTACTTGGCGTTCGCCAGACAAACTTTGCATAAATACATTAACGCTTATAATTCTGGCCGGAAGTAGAAAATAAGAAGTGATAGTAAAGATTAAAAATAAAATAAACTTTAGTAAAACTTAAGATCCTTACACAAACAGCGCGTATTCAGGAAGTCCGGAGTTCGAATCCCAGTGCGGGCATTGCGGTTTTCTTCAGATTCTTGGCTTCGAAAGAAATCTGATGACTCTATAAATTTCTGATGATATGAAATGCAGAAAAATAAATACAACGATTAGGCAAATTTGTAGTAAATCCAGAGTAAAATTCTGGATTAGATTCTAAAACAGCAGTAGATGAGGCATAAGTGGAAAGCTGTTGTAAACAAGGTTACAATGGAGATAAAAAAGAAAAAGGTGCTGCGGTCATGAAGCAGAACAGAAACAATAAATACTAAGAATACGATTGATGAAAAACAAGAGGGAAGTAAAATTGTTCAATAAATTCTTAGTACATGAAAAATGGTGCAAAACTGTGCAGGAATTAGATGAAATATCATATGACAAGAAAGAACATGAAGAAATGGGTTTTAGGAAGTAAAATAAGTGATGTCAAATATGTAATGAGGGGGGAAAAGCAATGAGTGAAGCCCGAACCCCCGGTCACAACCATTGAGCCCGATTACAGCTAACTTGTTTATTTATTTGTCAAATGCCAGTTACATTGGCCGTTAGGCCATTAAACTCCTTGCTCGCCAATAGCCCTGAAATCTACAAGAAAAATTTGTCAGTCCTTCACACTCGTCCAAATGTTCCTCTGTCATAGGCCGTCCACTATTACATAAAACACACAACGGCGAATCAGCTAGTCCAATGCGAAATAAATGATTCTGTAGACAGTCATGTCCCGTCAATAATCTAAAAGATGCAACTGCAACTGTTCGCGGATGGTCAGGAACAAAAGTTGGGTTTGATCAGAGAACACTCCAAGGCATGCCCTCACAAGCCCGAGTGGCAAAATCTCTAAAATTCTTTTTTATATGTTAGCGATGTCAGAAGCTTAATAGAATGGAGGCTTGCACTCGTTTTTGGCTTTTTGGAGAACCGTAGCCTCCTTTTTCGCAAGCATATCAGCCATCTCATTCCCATAAATAATGCAGTGTGAAGGTACCCATTGAAAAGATATCTTGTGGGAAAGTTCTTTTATGACTTCCTCACACTGTTGAACGCATGTGTTCTTACACTCTTGGTAAGAGGAGATGGCCTGCATTGCTGAAGTCGAATCAGACAGTACAACAGCCCTCCTGAAGGAGCTCTGTCTCAATGATAATTGTTAGAGAGCTACATGAATGGCTTTCAGTTCTTCATCAAAGTGAGTGGAGTAAGCCCCTACCGGTATGTCGAAACTGAAAAGCTTGCTAAAAACTCCAGCTCCAGCCCCTTGAATCCTATCGGTCAAAGAGCCATCCGTATATGCATGTATCCATTCCTCAGCCGGAAAACTTTGCTGAATTGTTTCCAAAGCTATAGTTCTTATTTGCTCTGGACTCATTTCCTTCTTATCAAGTTTCATTTCCAACCGCACAGGTCCAACCGCACATCAAGGAAGCTATAATCGAACGGATTTAGCAAAAACAGCAATGCCGGTTTCTGTGTTCTTAAAGGATTGTATTGTTCTAGGCGAGAGACACACTGCAGAAAGCCATTTTGTGTCTTCAGATTTCGTTGTTTATTACAATCATAATTCCTCCAATGAGGGTTACTTGGTAAACGAATGAGTCTCTGGAAAAGGATGAAAGCATTTTCTGAATCAGGTTTGTCATTGGTTGGTTTGCCGATACCAACTGCATTGCCAGAATGGGAATCGTTTTAACAGCCCCGGTTATAATGCGCATTGCCTGATTTTGGAAGACCTCCAGACGTTGTATCACACCTCGTGTAGCCGAGATCAATATCTCAGAGCAATAATGTAGTATTGTTCGAATATACAATTTATACGTCAAGTTGAGAGCCTCTCTACCACAACCCCATTTAACACCAGCTAAGCGTTTAAGGATAGGTAATCTACGCTCCGCCTTAGCAACTACATGCTCTGCATGCTTTCTCCAGGTTAGGCGCTTGTCAAAAATACAGTTAAGATAGGTGGCACCATCCGTCTGCTACAAAACCGACTTCTCATACATTAGTCTAGGAGTAAAGTGTTGTCTGTTGAGAGAGAAAAACTGACAAGTAGTCTTACCCTGATTAACTCTCATATTATTAGCAAAACACCACTCCTCAAGTCTCTGGAGCGCAGAGTTTAAGATTCGGTTTAAACCATCTTGATCTTTTTTTTTTTTTTTTTTTTTTTTGCTCTGGCCCATACGACAAGATCGTCGCGCAAAAAGGGCAGTGTTCACGATTCCATCTGATTCTAAGATGTCTGGTAGGTCGTTAATAAAAATGTTAAAGAGAATAGGGCTAATAACTGTGCCCTGAGGCAGACCCGTTTCAACTTGTTTATATTTTGAAGTGCTGGTGCCATAACGAGTAGCACAAAAACGTTGGGTCAAGAAATGTTTTAACCAAAGGAACATTTTTCCGCCAACACCGAATGTCTGAACTTGTTGACGTGTCACAACCATTGGATTGGTGTCACAACCATTCAGCCGGATTACAGCTAACTTGTTGACGTCGTTAGTAGGAGAAAGGTTCCAATCTAATATAGGGTGCTGAAGGTGAAAGAGATACCAGATTTAGTATGGATTGAAATCTTTACCAAAAGTCAGACGTAATAAACTTTGAATGGTTACTGAAAGTAATACTGAATTATAATCTGAATACTAATTTAATGGCTAGCATGCTACTAAAGATTAATTATCAAATATTAACCGAATTCTTTCATTATCAAATGCAAACAATACCTATTAATCAATATGTTCTTTAATTTATGAACTTCTTTTGCAGGTATACATCAGTTCTGGTCTTGGAGGGATGAGCGGCGCTCAGGCAAAAGCTGCAGTGATATGTGGATGTATTGGAGTCATAGCAGAAGTAATATCTCTTTTAAAAGGCATAAAAACAAATTCCAAGTACTTTCATATTGCGTATTTAAAAATATATTCATGTTCTTCTAAACGGTAATATTTTTAGATTGATAAAAGTGTTCTCCAGAAGCGTTTTGATCAAGGATGGGTTCAAGAAATTATTGATGATTTGGATACTTTAATTGCACGTATTCGGTAAGAGGTTCTCAGAAATAACTTTAACGGAAACATTAATTTGAAGTGAATGCAATATATAATCTTCTAAAGTTTTAATGCTTTTAGGAAACTATATGAAATTATGAACTCTGTCTCTTTTGACTTCAAAGAAATATATTAAAAAAATACTTCAATTTTGAAACTCTGAAAACTTTTAATTCTACGTTTACAGAGAAGCGAAGAAGAACAGAATAGCCACAAGCATTGGGTTTTGGGGCAACATCGTCAATGTTTGGTAAATAGCTTTATTACTTTAAAAAAAAAAAAAAAAAAAAAAAAAAACCTTCATTATTATTTCTTATCAAATGACATCATTTGGAATGATATTTTCGTTTTTCCTTTCCAGGGAAAGGATTAAAATTGAATATGAAAATACAGGAAAACTGCTTGCAGATTTAGGTTCTGATCAAACATCATGTCATAATCCATTTGACGGTGGTTACTTTCCTGTACAGGTAAGCTTTCAAAATTTTCACAAACATTAAACAGCTTAATATGCTTTTGCAAGCATATGAAAACTGAAAATCTACGATCAGAATTGGGTTTGATAAAGATCAGCAACAGTTGAATAAGAAAAAAGATTAGCTTTGTCAAGAATTTTGTGATGTTGATTTCGATTATGAAATCACAATTTCTCAATGATCTATATTTCCTCCTTATTGTTGCTCTTATTGGGACTAATCTCGCTTGTCCTCTATCAGAACAAGCCTACGAAATTCGTTTTCCGTCCGACTGTTACGTAATGCGCCTTTTAGGCAGACTTATCATTGAGCCGGCAACATCGCACTTATTAGCAATAGCCCGGCAATACATGTGTTGATTGAAATTCGTCATCGCAAGGAGGCAAGATTGCGCCTGTCGTTGAGAAGCGCCTTGGGCACCCTATAGGTGACAGTGCGACTTTGCTGCTTTGCTGTTCTCCACTCCCAATTTTGCAGGAGAACACTTCGGGGAGACGGGTTCAAAGGTCTTTCACCCCTGTTCCCCTACCACCAACATCTGAAATGCAACGTCTCGAGAGGACTTTTGGCTCGAATACCAACATAGTGTACAGACACTATGCATTTAAAAATATCCATGCCTTCTCCGGAATTCGAAACTGGGTCCTTCGATATTCCTCTTTATTAACGATATTTACACCTACTGTTCGTTGCCTCTTTTCAACCGGAATATAAGCATTCATTGGATTTGTTCCTACTGTCAATAACTTTACATTCATTTTTATAATTATTTCATTAAATTTTCCTGCAAGTATATACTATAAGAAAACGCCTGCTGCATGATAGCTGCAATTGTTTTAAATCTAGTGAAAATCTCTGCATTCAAGAAGTCCTGGAAATTTTAATCAGCTAATTCATGATATGTAACAAAGTGGCATAAATATAAATTGTAATGAAAATGAAATAAAATAAGAAGTTAAATATCGATGCTAATGTGTGGAAGTTATGCGAAAATTAAATTTTAAATGAAGATGGAGTCATATCATTTGTTTAAAAGGAAAAAAGACTCAGGTGTTATGACAACGCTTCTGGGCAATTATATAAGAGGTTATTTTAAATAAAAGTATATTCTTAAAAGCTGTGAATTGAGTGGAGCAGCAGGAGGATTCAGATCCAGTTAAACAACTGCAATTTTTTATTGATAATTTAAAAGCATTCATTATTTAATATTCACAGATAATTAAAGGCATAGCCAACTATTTTAAGCCCCGATATTTGTAAAAATGAAGGGTATTTTAAAAAAGGTTGGAGCTGAAAATTTTTTATTTTTTCACTTGAGACTGAATAATGTTGATCTAGAAAACAATTTCCCCTCTATTTATCCGAATCTGCTTGAAGTTTAAAGCAGGGGTTCCTAACGGGGTCGAAGAAATTTTAAAAAGTTAAAAAGTGTGAATGACAATCAAGGGGTCGATAGTCGAATATGCATCGGCAATTGATCGACCTAATCAAGATCCCATTAATTACAAAAAATGTATTAGTAAAACTAATAATTAATTGTTTAGTAATATAAAGCTCTACCAAAGTAAGGAAAGAAATTACATAAAATAAATATAAGAAAGAAAATACACTAAAATTTGTTAATATATTTCGAAAATAAAAAAGTAATAATATATTATATTGTTATGCAATAAAAAAGTAAATGCAAAAATACAAAGGAAAAAAATTAAAAATTATAACGAACGCAAAATTAGAATGGAAAACAAGAAACGCGTTGAATATTTTTGAACAAGGGCAATGCCAAGTATTAAAACAATTGTAGCAATACATCAAGCGCATTCATTAAATTTATTAATAATATTAATTAAAATCAAACTTTTGTGCAGTTAGAATCTGTAAGAATCTGTTCTTTTTCCTTTAAAAAATCTATTTGTATTTATTAAAAGTAATAGTAAAAACTTTTGTACTTATTAAAGTACAAAAAATAATTAAGCATAAATCTAATAATTTTAAAACTTTTGCTCATATTATTAATCTAACTGTTATCTTTAAGTTACTTATTTGCAATTATTATTTGTATTATGATTATGTCGTATACTGTATGTTAAAGAGAAAAATGCAAGGGGGGTCTAGGAAGCAAACCATTTTTAAAGGAGTTCGGTGTATGAAAAAGGTTGGTAATCCCTGGTTTAGACAATAGACATGATGCTATATAGTGGAACGTTTTCCAGAAACTATCCGGAACTCTTATTTTTCGGACATCCTGTTTTTATTTGTAAGACCAATAAAATTATGAATACTTTTAACATATTCATGAGCTTTTAATTTTTTCATTAATTTAAATATTGTAAAGTAATAATACGGCATACCACGTATATTTAAAAAGTGTACCAAATAAGTTTAGTGATTAATTCTTTTTCCATAAAAGCAATTTTTATACTGTTTATCTTATTATTTTGCTTCATGACAAAAAGTAATGTCTTAATTTCGTGCGTAGGTAAATAAAAATTAATTTTGTGATTTTATTTTAATTGAAATAGTATTCGTGTTTGTAAGTAATAATCACGTTTCTTCCTTGCGTGTTCGGTGTAAGAGGATGGGATTGGATTATTCAATTACAGCAAAGCACACAAGGGCTATCTGCCTAAAGGGAGGGATGCCTTCGTGGAGGACTTTCTAAGGGAAACTGGCTCGTATACACGTTACACATGGGGAAAACCACGAAAACACCCATGCAGCCAGCCCGTTCGCGGGATTCGAACCTCAGACCGAACTACCAGTGTTCAGCGTCTTTACCGCTCGGCCGCTGGTGGGCCCGGTGTAAGTGGAAAGGTACCAGATGGAAGGTAACATGGTTAGAATCTTCCCGAGAGCATAGTTGATTTTTCATGTTTTTTCTCCAAAAGTGTCTAATTTCTACAAGTAAACATAAAACACTTTCATGGTTAAATTTTGTTTCAAAATGTGCATTTTATATTTTGCATTATGATATTTTACCTTTTAACCGTGCAGTCTTAGTCGAAATTAAATACATAAACCAAAAATAATATTTCTCACTTGCATTACATTAATATATATTTAATTTAATAAAAACACAACTTTGCCAGTTGTGTTTTTATTAGATTAAATATAGATTAATGTACCAGTTGTGTAATCAAGTAACCAGTAAACTTGATTTTACCATTTAGTCCGGATACTTTTTATTCTAACATAAGATTTATATAATTTTGTATCTACAATATGTTTCATGAATACTTTTTACATTTTCAACACATTCTCCGGTAATTTAATTACAAGTATATACCAATACGTATATACTAATATGTTATACGTTGAATGAATGAAATCAAGATATTCTTTAAATTATTCAGGCTGATTGTGTAAGGAAACACATTTTTTTTTAAATTTAAAAACGAAGTATTTAAAAACGAAGTGTTTAAATTTAAATTTCCTTATTTCAGTTGACATTTGGAGAAGCAAAATCATTAATAACTTCTGATCCAACTCGATTCAAAGATCTAGTGCAAGAAAGGTAAGGCAATTTGCTTTTTCTGCAGTAAAATATTCTGCATGAATTGTTATAGAACAAGAATCACACACGAGGTTAAATTTTAATGAATGTTGATCAATAAATAAAAACTATATAGCAAGAATTTAAATGCAGTCATTTTCCAAACATTTCTGCTATCAGTAATCTATTAATAGGCTTGTTTTATTTCTTCAGAATTCAAACGCTGTCCAATCCCTTTCGCCAAACTTGACGCATTTAATAATGTTTGACGAAGCATTACTAGATACATTTAGTTTCAGTAGCGTAAAGCCTATTTATGAATGTTAACAATACCAACGTAATCAGTTGTTATGTACAAACTTAGAACGAAAGTTAAGACACATTAAGGCTTTTATGGGTTAGACATATGAAAAATCTTAAGTTATATTCTATAGAATCAGAACGCGTATTAGCCTATCCACAAAGGCGTATGGCAAAAAATTATTTTCAGCAAAGTGGAGTTAAGAGAGATACACGTTTAAAATACAAATTAAAAATTGTTATTTACAAGTATGATATATTTTTTTATTATTAATTGAAAGTGTAGCTGATGTAGCTGAGAGCCTCAACAACAAACTTGAAGTATGCTCATTTGCAGAATAACATGTCTTTATTTTATTCTTGTCTTTGCAAGGTTTAAGCTGGAATCATTAAATGCCAAGAAATATAAATGCGTCATGCACTGATGCAGAAATATTGATTTATATTTTACTGTTCTGAAGTGCAAAATATTAACACGCTCCGTGCCAAGATCATTTGGATTGTTCTACGCTACTTAATAAAGGAAACCAACTACAACAATTGAATAAGGAGATCTTAGATCTTCTGTCGAAATCTAAAGCTACGTATGAAGAGTATATAAAATAATTTGATTCATCCGAGGCCTACTGGAGAAATTGATCTTAAACAACCCGAAAGTGAAGCAAGTCACCTTGAAAATGAAAACGGATTTGCTGAAACATTCTTTTATGAGTGAAATCAGAACCATTGATTCAAAAGCACCACCAGAGAGTTTGAAGCTTTCGAAAATTAATTTGATTGAGTTCAACGTCGATCTAATGGAATTGCTGAATTTTTGGAATACTTGTGGTAAGATACATGAAGATCCAGTTTTGAATGATAATTTGAAATTCCTATATCTAATACAAGCCACTGTTCCAAAGACAACAGCATGAGAAGTCGTTGAAAATTTTCCTACTGTTAAAGAGAATTATGCGAAAGTTATTGAATATTTTAAGAGTCGATTTGTCCATGAGGATATTCAAGGTCTACGTTCGCGATTTATTGAATATTGTGTTAGTAAATAACAAGAGTGCAACAAAAAAGACAACAAAAAAGCTATTAGCCTATCGGTCATTTTATGATACAAGTAGTTTAGAAACAAATCTTCGAGCTCAGGAATCGCTTGGCGTTACAGAAGATAAATACACTAGCGTTATTTTTCCGTTGTTGGACTCAAGTCTGCTCCCTCGACATTTTACGAATTTGGGAAAAGAAAAGGGAGTATTCGTCTCTGAAAGTGAAGAGTGATCTTAAAGCTATTTTTTTTTAAATATATAGGTATTTCTGAAGAAAGCATTAAATTAGAGCGTTTCTCTTTTGATAAAAGTAAAAAATGCAAAACATTGCATAGATGATGAATCTAATAGTCCTTCTAGTAAAGATTTGTATATATGAGATAAATTTAAAGAAAAGGCTCTTTTTAAAAAGTTTGAGGTTTCGGGTTTATTTTGTTATAAACCACATTTGACAGTAAATTGTTTTAATGCTAGTACTCTTACGTATCAAAAAATGTTTAATATTTAAGAAGGGGGGCAAGTCTAATATGCTTAAAAAGAAACCACATCTCTCGCAACTAAAAGTCGAAGGTTAAATGTTTAATATACTAGAAAAGGCATTTAGCAATATGTTAAATGAGTTCCTTCCGAACTAAAAGAGAATAAACAGATTGCTTTTGCTGAAGCGAAAAGTGACGTCAGTGTTTTGACTAGACCAGGGTTTCTTAAACTTTTTTCAGTCGCGACCTCTTTTTATCATTGAGATATTTTCTCGACCCTAGGACCCCATAATATTTACAGAAATTTTGTGGGACCCCATAAATATTGCGCAAATCTGACACACGCGTGAGTGAAACTGTCAATTTTTTCGCTTGTACTGTAATATATTATTGCAGTTTTAGGTCATTAACTTTAATTTCTTATTTTAAGACATAGAACAATGTAAAAATTTTAAATAAGTAACTGACGAAATAACAGCGTCACGTACAAAGCAAGGAATATGAACGTTTATATTATAAAAAGAATGCATCGAAACGTTTGCGTTTATTTATTTATTTATTTTTTTTTTTTATTTTATTTTATTTATTTTCTTTTTCTGTATTGTCTTATCTTTATCTGTTTTCAGATACATTTTGTAAAAATATTTGGTAATTGTAAAATTATTATAAGTTAAAGAAATATCAAAACTGCTAAAATTTTTGGAGACTCCCTGCTGCAGGTCCCACGGCCCCCTTGGGGGTCGCGACCCACAGTTTAAGAAATCCTGGACTAGACGATCGGCGTTTTATTGCAAATATTAATCATTAAATAGAACAAAAAATAGAAACCAGGAGAGGATCATAAGAGTGTTGACACGGACTGTGAGCTAAATTGTTACGGACTCTTTGAAATGTGAAAGTACCGATGCAGCGAAATTACTTCTTAAATTAGTCGGAGGTGTGGAAACAAAAGAAAACTTGCATTCTGAATATACAGTTCGTTTGAGGGGCTTTGATAATAAAAGCGAATGCAATGTACATTTTTTAACTGAATCTGTCTTTTGTTCTGACGTAAAGAAAATACCAAAGATCCTTGGTTAAAATGACTTAATAAATTAAATATCCAAGTATCTGACATAGAGGATAACACTCTTGAAATCGAAAGCCTATTAAATTGTTGATAGGTTATGATATTGCAAGAAATTTATTTATCGGAAATATCGGATGTCTTTTAAAGTGTTCTGGTAGAAATGTAAGGCACATTTAGCATAAGTTCTAGCGGATAAGATTAAAGGGAAGGAAACTTCTAATGCACATGATTTTCTTGCATGTGATTTATTATAAGAGAAAGGTCAGCAAAAAACTTTTGGAAGTTAGATGTTATTGGTATAAATGGCCCGACAAAGTTGAAATTCGCGAGAAGCACATGTACCATTTTGAGCGAAATTTAAAGTTGGTTTCAGACGGCAGTACGAAGTTGCATTATCTTGGGTATTAGACTCTTCTCGATTGTCTAGTAATAAAGAGCTATCAGAAAAATACTGATCACTACGCGGGCGGAGAAAATTATTAGATACAATTCAAATTAAAGTTTATGAGGAAGTATTTGATACTTTGTTGAAGGACCGAATTAGTCAAGAGGTTACTGAAGGAAAAGTACGTAGAGAGCACTTTTTGCTTCATAGACCAGAGTTTAAATAATTTAGCAAAACAATAGGGATGAGGCTGCTTTTTTTTTTCATACTTTGTAGTATAGCAAAGAGGAGCTTTCCTTAAATGACTGTCTGGAGAAAAGTTCCAACCTGACTGAAGTAATTCCATCGTTGTTGAAGAGCTTTTAGCTAAGGGGAATGAGGAATATAGTATTTCATCTCGTTATGCTAAGGGCACCACGAAGTTATATTTACCATAAACAGCATTCCAAGTCTTTCCTCCTCATTAATTTTAAAGTATCTCAGTTTTTATCTGGTCACGGTAACTTTGCAAGTTACCTGTTTCGTTTCAATCTAAGATCAAATAATTTATGCGAATATTCCAAACAAATACCTCAAAATGTGGAGTATTTAATGTTTTTCTTCCCTACATTCGATGGCCCTAGATTATTCTTGCAGAACGATTTGAAAACATTTGACGTGATTTACAGTGAACTTATCTATTTTTGTGAAGTCTAGACCGCTTTTATCTTTTTTGTTCGTTATATTTAAGCATGCAATATTTAATGTTTTAATTACTTACTTTTGTAAACCCCATGTTGTACATTTGTGGTGCATGAGGAGATTGTTCGTATTCAAAATTTTTAAAAAATGTGAAGATTAAGAATCAGATTTACCTCAATTTTATGCAAGCACGCACTAGAGTTGCACCTTTAAAGAACGTATTCATTCCTCATTTGGAACTATTTTCCTACTTAAGTGGAGCACGCTTGGTAAGTGCGGCCATTTCTGATTTGAATAAATACCAGATTTAAGATTATCTACTGAACTGAGTAATCGCTTTGAGATGAATCTAGCGAGACATTCGACGAGGAACTTTCGTTTGAAATCGTGTCCAAGAAATCAGAACACTTTGAAAATAGAAAACTAACGATACATCCCTTCAAAGCTTAAATGCACACGACCTCCTTTCGTCTTTTCGGTCAAACAATTTTTACATCGAAATGGTGAGAGGACCGAGCATAGCTGTTAGAACCAGAGCCTTCATGGCCTAAAAGCGTTGATTTTCCAAACAAAGAGTCTTAAATTCAGAAAAGCGTAAATCAGTACTAACCACTCTTAAATAAAATCTAAACCTAACAGTTGGTGTTATAAGAGTATCTGTAAAGAAAATTGTACGCATGTTAGCTTGGATACTTACATTTTGCTTTAAATTATGGGAAACTGCTACTGAATTCTCAAAACTTTCGTCTGTTTCGGAAATGATAGAGCTGAGATAGAAGTAATGCTATTGATTAAAAATCAATCATTTAAGGGTGTAAACGATGATAAAATTAAAGACGTCAAACTAATAGTTGATTGTGATGGTCTGATTAGAGCTAAGACCAATATTGCTTATCGAGACGATACTGATGACTTCAAGTTTCCTATTGTTTTGCCACCTAATCGTGCAGTAGTAAAGTTACTGTTAATGAACGTACATAATGAGCTACTTCACACTGATACTTCTGTGGTGATGTTTCATTCACGAGAACAGTATTGGACCCTCATGTCTCGTCAGACGGTGCGAAAGT